CATGGGAGCAGGTAACACAGGGGGTCCTTGCATTTTCAGGTTCCTCCCTCCCTTTATATACAACTAACCCGTAACTCCTCAGTCTCCCTCATTGTCTCGGAAGTCCTCATTTCTCTGTATTTTCTCTTGTTCGGTAGTCTATATATTCTCTCCTACTGATCTCTGATATTTCTACTGGGTTGTTGTAAGTAAATTTTTTTTATTTATAAATTATATAATTATATATGAATAGTATATTTTGTTATTAGTTGATATATTTATATAAGTATTTGTTAATTTATTTCTTGTGTTATTTTGCAGGTTAGAAAACATCTTCATCTATTCTTTACAATTATTTACAAGTAAGTATAAGTAGAGTTAATAATATAAATTCTAAAATATATTAGTTGATGATTCAAATAATGTTGTAGTTTTGAATATAATTTGTTATAAGTATGTTACTGCTAGAAAATTGATGTATGTGTAAGTTATTTTGAATATTGTAAAATAGAAAATTTTAAAATATCGTAAAATAGTATTATTTGTGTTAGTGAAAATATAATAAAAAGCTTATCTTTTATATAGTATATTATACTTATAATTAATGAATAAAATAATTATAAATTTATGTTGATTATAATAAATAATAGTGAATTAATTTGGTTTTGAAATAAAAATACATGATGATTAAATTTAATTTCCATTATTATTAAATAATATAATATTTATTAATATTGTGTAATTGACAAATATGTAAAATCTAAGCTTGTAAAAATAAGAATATTATATATATATATATATATATGCAGAAATTTAAGTGAATGTAAAATTATAATAGATTAATGTTTTGGTGAAAAAAACTTAATTTGTTAAAATTAATAATAACACATGGATACTTAATAGAAATAGAAAAAAGATATAATTAATAATAAATTACCAATGTTAAATGTATTTTATTTATTAAAACGCATAATAAATGTGAACATTGTGATTTCCTTTTATTCCAAAACATTTATTATTAAATTTTCAGTTTTTAATATGTATATATTTATGTATTATTTTAACATATTTATACAAATAATAATTACTTAATATAAATTGGAAAAATATATAAATAATGAAAATTAGTTTACGTTTATAGTATTATATTTATTATAACCCATATTTTAATGAAAATTATAAATAATAAATAATATTTAATATAAATTGTAAAAATATATAGATTAAAAGTACTATTTTTAGAAATATATAAATTTACTAATAACATAATATAAATTTAAGAAATCTATAATTAATAATATATGTAAGTACTAATTTAACTTAATATAAATAATATATGTAAGTAGTTTTTCTACATAATTTTAAAAATAAAAATTATTAAACATAAAAATAAAATTTGTTAAATATAAACAAGGAAAATATACTAATAATAATAAATAGCCAAGATTTATTGTTTTATATTTACTATAAGTCATATTATTTTTTTCATTAGAAATAATAAAATGTATATGTACGTAGTGTTTTTAAAAAAATTTTAAAATACAAATTAATTAATATAAATAGAATAACTATATAATTAATAATACGTAGGCAACGTTTATTTTATTATATATTTATAAAAACCCATATTTTAACCAAATCATTGTGTTAATTATTAAATATTACTAAATATATGTAATTATTATTTAAACATATTTAAACAAATACTAATAACTTAATATAAATGGAAAAAATATATAACTAAAAATAATTTGGTGATGTTTATTGTTAAATAATTATTATAATTGAAATTTTAAAAAATGGTTGTAATAATTATCAATTATTAAATAATATATGTAACTATGTAAGTAAGGTTATTTTTATTTGTTGATATATTGTGTTACGTTGAGGTTATTTGAAATAATTAGAGGAGTTTTTAAAATTAAAAATGTTAAATGTAATAATTATTTAATTCAAAATAAAAAAATTAATATAAAAATGTATGTATTTCATTATTATAAATGTTCCTATTTATGTTGAATATGTGTGTATATATGATTTAGTAATTTAATGGTAAAAATTGAAATGTTATTTATAAAAATTATATAGTTAAAATAAAATAATTGAATATAAGTATTTAATGCAATGTTAAAAAATTGACTATTTTACTGAATATTAGAAATTTGACAATTGAAATAATACTAATAGAATTTAAATGCAATTTATATTTTATCATAAATGTCTTGTAGAGGAGTCGATTATGTGTCAAACAATAACGAGGAGGAAGACATTGTTCGCTCGGAGGAAGAATTGGGACATGAGCGACTAATGTCTGAATGGATAAGGGTTATGACAGTTGAGGAAGCTGCTAAAGCTAAAGAAAAAGAGTTATTGTCTTCGTTGTCACCGCCAACACTGAAACTTGGAGATGACAATAACGAGGAGACATTTAGGTCATGTAACATTGACCCTCTTATTCCTGGACCTGCTGGTTTGGTCTAAGCTAACATGAGGAACATGTAGTTTGATAGTCCCTTACCAATGCAACAATTTTTGTTTGATATGGGTCGAGCTGGGAACATGGTGTTAAACACTAACCCGTGGCGTTATGTAGTTCATTACGTGAAATCCAGAGGTTTTTTTTCCATATTAAGTTTGGTGTGTTTAAATTTTTTCATCCAATTAATATAATGCTTTGTATGTTTTATTAATAATAGGGCTACCAGAAATGACGTCATTAATTAATATAGACCATAATTTAGAAAGAGTTCCAACTATTGTTGCTTTTGTGGACTCTATGACCCCAACTAGCAATGGAAATTATAGTACAAACTTAGGTATGATTCTTGAATATTTGATACATTAAAAACTATTATTTTGTAAATAATTAAAAATATTTATTTTAAGACCCTATTGCAACGATTGGTGCAAGCCTATATTACAAAGCTAAGCAGCACCGACAATATGGGGAAGACATTGTTGTCGGTTGTGTGTTAGTTTTGAAACAGGTAATATTTATTGTATAAGATTATATCATATTATTTATGTGTTGAATTGATTTTGTTTTATTTTTCTTTAAATTGTTGTGTTTGTCCCAGCCTATATCCGTAGTCCTTACTTCTTGAACATAACCAAAAATAATGTACAACGAGTAGGTATAGGCATTCAAATTTAATTTATTAAGAAATTAATATTGTATATTAAACAATTATTATTGTTTAACAATTATATGTTGTATGTTTATTTCAAGTTATTCTGAAAGATATTTGATTTAATCAATAATAAATTATTGTATTTTACTTTTAGGTTATTTTCTAATTATTGAATGACTGTAATTTAATTTTTTAAAATTATATTCACTGATTAAATATAATCTAATGATAGAATATTTTACTTACCTCTTATCACACCGGGAAGTAAAAAATATGGTAATTCTTTATAACATATTTTCTTATGGAAACTAATTAATGCCCTGAGAAGGAAAATGTACTAAAAAAAACAGTGTAAAAAAATAAATTATCAAAACTAAGAGGATTATGCTAAACTAATAGTCGGTATATCTGCAAAGAATATATGTGCAAAATACTACTTTTCTTAAAATGTAATTTAAGAGTTTTTCTTCTTTTGTAAAAGGATTTAAAAAAAAATTGAATTAACAAATCTAGATGAGCGAGAAAGAGAAATTACTATGGTACAAAGTTTTGATCCACAGATTGTAATATAATATCAAAAGCAGCTTAATCGATATAAAGAGAACAAAATCCAAAAACATTATATAATTACTTTGATGCCACCGTATTTTTAATAGAACAGAAAATAATAAAAACGACTTCTACTTAATTATTTTCAATTTTAAGTTTATTTTAGAATTCTTTTAAAGAATTTTTTTAATATTTAAGTAACATATTTTCATCACAATTTTCTGGTTTCGTTGAAAATGAAATTAGAAAACAGGAAACCAAACAGCCCTAAGATTTTTCACAAACCATTTTCTTCTACTTCCTCTTACCTCATTTATCTCTTCTTCCCTACTCGTTACTCTGTTTTTCATCCATGTTAGTAGATTCAATATCGATGCCCTTTCTTATCAAATAAAACTGTTGGAAAAAATGGAAAAGTAAGAACACAAGTCCCAAACCAACAGTGAGATAACAAATAACATATATGTAAAACTTGAGGGGCCAAGTGCGCCTTCGGACATTTTTCATTTTGGATAGACAAGTCTCTCAAACTTAAGTTCATATAGATTTTATGAGTTAATGACGTATACATTTTTAGTGTAAAGTTTTTTTTACACTAATAACCAATCATATTTTTTAATAGTATCATGTCAGTTACTCATTTAATGAAATAAAAATAAAATAAAATAATTTAAATGATATAATTAGTTGTCAGTGTAAAAAACTTTACACCGGCAATATATGGATAATTAACGCAGATTTTATTCGTCCTACAAAATTTCTTACATATATTATTATATATAAATATAATATATGTAACTATAAATTTACTTATATAATATATATTTATACATAATTTTAGTGTTAATTTTAAATAAGATTCAATAAAAATATATTGTGTGTCATTATAATTGACATTTAGACTTTTTAACAACATACTAATATATATTATATCTATAATATAGTTAAAAATAATTTTTAATAATATATATTATATTACTATAAAATATATATTAATATAGAATTTTTTTTAATTGACTTATGCTTCAACAATACATTTTTGTCTTATTATCTTATTCGTTAATTAGCCAATCATCAAGTTCCTTCAAAATTATTTTTAAATTTGAATCTAAACACTTGATCTAACCAAAATAGGTGAATGCTGAAGACAAGCATAAAATAATCGGCTGATGAACTTTGTATGCATGTTTGCAATTGATTCAAATGAATGATTAATTAATAAGAAAAGTAACCGTACTCTACATCTCTCTAAGTACGTAATTTGACATGAGAGTCAAATACTATATAAATTCTTACACGAAACACCAACATTTTGCATTCAAATCCAAAGCAAGCTAGCTATCATTTGTAATACATGACAGGTTTATTGGACTTCAAATCCCACATGCCTCCTTCCTTAAGATACTCAAGATACCTTGCAAATTCAGGTCTAGCTGTTGTTTTCTTTTTCCTATGAAGAGCCAAGAAACTTAGGAGTGGGTGACTCTTCTTGTCACTGTTATTATTAGCCTTTTTTGTGGGGTTTCTTTGAAGATTGATGTCCTCAAAGGTGGAAGCTAGAGTCATTTTTCTTGAAGAATTGGATCCCCAAGAAGGCAAACTTGTGCTCCTCTTGAACCCCTCATTCAAAAGTGCAGTGGTGGCTGATTCTTTACCTAATCTCTCGTACCTCCTAGGGCCTCTACGAGTGCTTATGGATCTTAACATGGTTGAATTCTATTGCTTGTGAAAGACAAGATTTTGATTGATGAACTCACAGTGTAAAGAGGCCAGTGAGCGCAAAAGAGTTGATGGGGATTGTAGTTGTAGATGAGATAACTTGGAATTTGGAATCATAATGGAGGGCTTTATATACGCATCTATGTGGTCAAGTTTGGTTAGCTAGTTCTTTGGTCCTTCATGTTTTTTTTTATTATTAAATAGTATAATATTTTTGCAACTTATGTTGACTTTTTCTACTGTCCCACAATTATAAAATTTATATCCAATTATTAAGTTGTGAAGTATATATCAACTACCATGAAATTACATAAAAAGAATTATATTCAATTATTCATTTATCGAGTTAATGATGTTTGTATTTTATTTTCTTCAATTTCGGTGTTTTCAAGTAATTAATAATTCAATTAAAGTTGTTTAAAACCACCGACCAATATCAATACCATGGAGCACATAGATTAATTGGGACGGTTATTTTATAGTTTAATTAGTTATTTTGAGTAATTTTAAATATGTAAGTTTGTTAAATATTTAGAGAAAAATTTATTATTTATAATAATTTTATCTAACACAAACGACAAAATATTATATTATTATTATTTACAAATGAAAAAAATGATAGAATTTCCTACACAATGACCTCTACAAGGAAGCTTGCATGGAGTTCCTTTGAACCTTATTTCCAATTAACCTAACCACAAGTTTGTCTCCTTACTAAGTCATAGTATACTATCAAACAACGACGGATTCTAGTGTGAGGGACCTAAACATGTCCCCCACCATGCAAGACATATACCAATCGTTGGATATATATGTTTTTAATTTAGCATATACGATTTAATATTATTAAACAGATGGAGTTCTTAAATTGATACTAATATTCATAAAATAAACGTTCTACGTAGTTAGAGATTGATCTATGTGTACATATCCCAAGAATCTACGTATTCGGTAAGTCTCGTAGGTTGTCGTGCTCGAGTCATTATTCACATCCTCAAATAAACTCATTTTTTAAGCAATGTCGTGATGGAGGCATTATACTTATCCTGAAGGTGACCCATTCTTTTTGTGTTTGCTATTGGTGTGAAGTTGTCGTCCCGGTGGTTAGTCACACAAGTAGGTTCCGTTGTTGCTTACCTCTTTTGTTTTTTTCGTCCATTGGCAAATAAATTGTGTGTAGCCTCAATTAGGGAATTTTTCTGTATAGGGTTTATGCCATTCCGAAGCAACTGATATTTCGTTATTGACTATCTCTTTTGCTTTTTTCTTCCGGTGGCCAAGATATTGTGCGTAGCCCCGATTAGGAACACTCTTGGTTAAAGCTATGAGTCATCAAAATGATAAACATTCAAGTGTAAGACTCTTAGATTTAATTGATTTTATTATTATTTTTATTATTTTTTTGTTGGTGGTTAAAGTAATTTTGCAAACAAATGTTAATGATTAGTTAATTGCAAGATGTAGATGATAAATCGAATGGAGATAAAAGTGTTATTGAAGATGAAATTGAGCAAGGAGATGAGTTAGAACATAGAGATGAATGGGAGGATAGAGATGAATCAGACCATGGAGATGAATCAATAATTTACATATAATTAAACTATACCCAAAAGTGTTGTAAGCGAAAGTAAAAAAAGTATATTTTTCATTATTTATTAAAATAATAATAATAAAAAAGATAAATTAAGAATCAAAATAACAAATAAAATTAAAATACAAGTAAACTAGAAAAACATATAAAAAAATTGTTATTTTACTTAAACAATTTTTTTTTAATTTAGAAGCTAAAATTCATAATAAGAAAATAACAATACAATTTTACAACTTATAAATTTCAAATAACACTAAAATACCATATTTATGAAAATTATATAACTATTTAATTTTTATTATTAGATTAATGAGAAAAGTGATTAAAAAATAGTAATTTCTACCTAATAACAATAAAATATTGTGTAATAAAAAATAAAATAAAATAATTTATTTAAGATTTATACATGAAAGATTGCATTGATTTCCTACTTTTCTTAAAAGACAATAACATTAAAAGTGATAAAAAAATATGTCTAATGAAGTATTTAATTTAATTTATATTTTAATTAGTTAATAACATTATGTGTTTTTGTGTTTGTTATTCAAGTGATAATGGATAAAATAAAATATTAATTAATTTTCTATTTTAGAAATAAATATTATGATTTTTTTATATACATAAACAATTTTGTCTTAGTTTAAAAAATATTAATTAATTTTCAGTTTTAAAAAATAAATATTATGATTTTATGAGAATGATTTTATGGAAAAGTATAATAAAATTGGTTTTTCAGAAACTATATTCTTAATAATATTTTATTTCTAAATAACAACCTAATATAAAAAATCAAGATTCTATATTTAAAATTTTCAGAAAAGCAAAAACATTTTGTATATCAAACCTCTTCCAAAAGTATATCATCATTAAATATATTGTGTTATATATGTGAACAGAGAATTTTGTAATATAAGTATGACATTTAGATATAAACTATTTTACTTATATTTTGATATCAGTTAAGTAAAAAATATTAAATTATATATCTATAAATTGTAATATGGTTAGTGTTATTTTTTATGTATTATTGTGGGTACTTTATATTTAAATTTGGATTAGATTTAAAATTAATAAATTTCTAATTTGAATATGTCAATGATTTGTTATGAATTATTTGTAATTATTAATTATTATTTTGGTTGTTTAACATTGTTATAGGTATATAATTTTTTTTAGTCAATTTTAAGTGATTGTTATTTTTTTAAAATATATTTATAGGCCATATAAAATGATTTTTGATATATTTATATAAATTGTAATCCCTAAATTCTAAATGTTAAACATAAAATTATGAGTTGCTTATTTATGGGAGTGGAGTCATTCGGACAGATGCTAGCGTGCGGGAGCATGACATATCCTCCACCGTACGAAAGTAATATGGGCCCTCAGATGTGTAGATCAAAATTTCATTGTTACGATTTCAGTAGTACCGGCTGCACCGAAATAAAGTTTAGCTTCACATTTAAAAAAAAAAAAAATCACGTGTAACGAGAACAATCAAAAGTCTTCAATTGCAGTAAATTACTAAGTTCAATAAATTAAAATTGTAACTAAACTCCGAAAAGTTTACTGACAGAATAATATATTTAAATTTTTTTGTAACATTCAAAATAAAGATTCTATTAATGTATAAACTTTGATTTTTTTGGAATGTATTACCATCGGTAAATCTCGGTATTTATGAATATACATATTCAAAAATTATTATTCACACTAGGAGAAAAAAAGGTACTTATTGCCTACATTGTATTAAAAAAAATAAATAAATAAAAAACAAAGAAAATGAAAAGCTATTCATAGAAAGGTAGTTATTGAAAAATAAATAAAAAATAAAATTGTCCATGTAAAAAAGAAAAAAAAATGAAAACAAAAAGTAGTTATTGAAAGTGATATCCACTTTATATATTAGTATAGATTCATTAGTTTATAATTTTTCTAATTTTTTAAATAAAAGGGTATAATGGTCCAAAAAAATGGAGACCAACATAATTACCGAAAAAGGTATCTCTTTTATATATTAACTGGTATGATTGAGGCACTACGTGCCTCTATTAAAGATAAAATAAAATAAAAATTAAGTAATAAATATAAGTTAATCTAATATTATAATTAGTCAATTAATTTTAAGGTTTTGATTTTGAGAAAAAATATTATTTTTTAATTTTTTAAAATGAAAGAGTATAATGGTTAACAAAATGTGGTGACCAAGGTAGTTACTAAAAGATGTATCTCCTTTATATATTAGTATAAATATAAATTTTAATTAAATGATTTATTTTTGTTTTTTAATAATATATATAATAAAATTTAAATTTAATATATTACAATACTTCTTATCTTTTATATATAAAAAAATCATACACTTTTTTCTCCTAATTATAATAAACAAATAGTTACTTTCATATGTATTAATTACTAAATTTTTTTATATCCTCGTACAAGTGAATGTATTTATCAATATATTGATAATACAAGTGACACTAATAAGTGAAAAAAGTTATTTTTTGAATTAAGTAGTGTCATATCACTAGTTAAATTAATCAAATTCAAAAATAATTTTGAAATAAAATTTAATTCTATTACATTAATAATGAAAACTATCGATCTTAAATACTTTTGATCTAAACTAGCAATGCTCCCGCATGCTAGCCCTGTCGTGGACTCGTGGTTTGTGTATGTTGGAGTTTATGTGTGAAGGTCTCACGTGGGTTAAAGTTGCGTATATTGACTAGTATATTATCAAGAAAAATCCATCGATGTAATAACTTAAGGTTTTAGGATATATTATGTTATGAAGGTATATGTGATTTATTTATTATTCAATATGTGAAGTGTTTCTCGATTTTAAATTTTCCTGACCTAACTATGTAATCAATATATTGAAAGTGTCAAGATTAAAAATATTATTATTATTATTATTATTATTATCATTATTTATATTTTTTAGTTTGACTTTTTAATTATAAAATTCTACCATTGAAACAAAATTTGTTAAAATGTAGTGTAAATTGCTTAAGAATAATGTGGTATGAATAAGAATTTTAACAAAATATTTATAAGAACCAAAAGATGTGGACTTAGAGAATTTAAAAAATAAGAAAAGTATTTATAGGAAACAAAATGAATATATATATTTCATAGAAACTAAAAATATATTTAAATCAATTTGATATATGTAAATTATTATTATTATTATTATTATTATTATATATACTCACAATGAGAAGCATGGTTTGGAGAAAAAATGATATATAATTATATCATTTTAATTTAAAAAGTTATAAAAGATGCATAATTTGTGTTTTTCAAGTAGTACGAAATTATTTATTTTATCAGAATTACATCTGACTCTGTAGTCTACATGAGTACACGATCAATTTTTTAGATTTTTCTTAAATAAAAAACTAGTATTATTTCTACATCTGGTTCACTTATAAAATTGCAATCTTTTAAATTTTTAATCAAGATATCCGACGGTTAAGAAAAGTCTCCAATGGTGGAGATATGCCAAGGTCTCCCATCCTATAATCCCTCTAAACTTATAACCAAATGATAGATTATAAGAAATCAGAATTATTCATGACAAATACCATAGATGTTCATCAAAACAAAATTTACATAACACAACCTAAAAAAGAAATACACATTATTTAAATAACACAACCTAAAAAAGAAACACACGTTATTGGTGATCTATAGTAACTACTAGTGGGTCTTGATACTAATTTTCAGAACATGCTTGAGAATTGTCTGATAAAACAAGCCGTAAAGTTTTTGGTGTTTACCCTCATGCGTAGGTATAGCCTATAAAAAAATACAATGAAAATTTAGTTAAAAGGAACTTTAATAAAATAAGATTTGGTAAGAAAAATGATGAATTAATGGGGCACTATTGTGACTATTCGCAAGTGAGGAAGTTTGACCTTGCATGTGAATGGTAGTACGAGGCTCGAGGTGAGGTAACTCAAGTTTGATATCCATAAACTTTGAACTTTAACGTCTTTCATCCGACATAATGGAAGAAAACGAGTTTAGTATCAGACAAATTGTAAGCTCGTCCTATACATTTTGTTCCTATAAAGAACGCCATTGGCTTGTTGTTGATGTGTTTGATTTGCACCTGGACTCTAAATGACAACATGAATTCGTCCTCCAAAACAAAAAAATTTTCGATATCATTCCTCTATTTATTATAAAAAAAAATCTTGGTATCCTGACCTTGTCCTGTTTCAAAATACACAAAAAACTTAAAAATACATATATTAGTATTTGGCTTTGATACCAATAAAGTATGAATTGGTGGCAATAAAAAAGTGTATGTACTTCATCACCCGCAACAGGGACCTCAAACATGGATTCATGACTTGTTTCCATCTACAAGCTACAACAATGAAGAAAGTTATTAAAAAAAAGAGTAATATGATGGTTCAGTAGTAATAGAATGCTCAAAATGATAGCTTTGTAGAGGGAATTGTGGGAGAGGGAAACGGAGTGAGAAGTGTTATTTCGACTGAAATATACTTATGAGCAAGCATGGACCACGTATGAGAATTGAACGACCTTGTAAAAAATCAAAGGTACTATTAATTTAAGTTAAAATTGTTAAATAAATGATAGGCATGATTGGCAATATAATATTAGAAAACATTATAGAAAATAAAACGTAATGAGTATGATGGATTTGACATGTATTAATAATAATATGGAAACAAATCTGAAATCGTTTTACCTAGGGATAGGGTGCATTTTTCCCTCTTTTCGATTAAGAAACCCATATGACAAATCGTCATTAGCATTAGTCATAATTAGTATCGTTGGTATGAACATACTTTGTGTCTCGTAAGGATTGTGATAATGTTTTAGAAACAAAATGCAACTAGTATTCTTGACAATATACTCATGGACATCATGAAGAATATAATTATTGATTGTGTCAGTTGAAGTGAATGAACAAGACAATGAAAACACGATTTCTGTCACACATCTTTCCAACTCAATGAGATTTCATTTTGGATTGCATTACACATGAACGACGGGGTGTAGTGACTTCACATCATTTGCGGTCTATGCAATCAATTGCTTTTAACCTTCCTTTCCTTCATTTAGTTGGCGATCATGTTACTGTTATTACCATTCACCAACGTGATGAATTGCTTGCTCCCAATTGCTGAACTTGAATAGCTTTGGTTGTTGAATTTGTGGCCACTTTGTTTAGTGAATTCCTTTGATTGGTATGTAGTATCGAAATTATCATTATTTGAAATTTTAATATCAACGTAATGTGAATAATTTAATAAAATTTTAATACTAATTTTAAACTGTTTTAATTAATAATATATGTATAATACATTATTTTGTTCATAAACAAAAATGAAACATGAATAAATTGTTTTTTTTTAAATTATTGATTATTTTAATCATATAATTAAAAGCTTGTAGAGAAGTAATGTTCCTACCGTAAGTCCGCTGTCAACGTTAGGGTCACCGCATCCGAGGTATTGTCCGCTTTGGCGCTCGTTGGGCCGTCACGGTTTTGTCCTTGAAAAGGCGCCTCGGTGGGTTAAGGAGGAAGGGTGTTTATAAACTACCCTTAGGATCGACTCCTAAGCGATGTGGGACTTTTAGGCATACCGGAACAAGCTCCCCAGTCGATGCTAAGGGGTAAGGCCGAGCTTAACCGAGTTCATTAGATAATTTTGACCGAGATAACCATTCATTTAAACTAAAGTAAACATATGAAATGCTGAGGTGTAACATCGAAGAAAGGAGATTGGTAATACACCTCGGCATACCGAGATGACATTGAATATGGCTTAACCGCCGATAACCTTCAGACAATAACCAAACAACAGTTACACGGTTACTCAGGAACAACCACAGGTAATAATATAAGCAATACATGAGATAAGACAGATAACTAACTTGATCGTCGGAGTCCTTTTTGCAATTACATCCGAGACGCCCGAGCAAGGAGACCGGAGAAAAGGATATCGACCAATTGATCGACCTCACACAACCTCGATTGGATCCGGCAGGGAAGACGACTTATCCGAGTGAGAGAGACGACCTGATTCGAGTAAGTACATTTGGCGCTAGAAGGAGGGCCTGGTAAAATTCCCCCTCCAACTACCTTATGGTGTCAACTCGGAGCCAAACCAATAACATGGACGAAAACGCCACTTTAAGGCGATTACTTGAGCAAATCGAGTTGATGCAAGACCAACATGCAGCAGCGATGGAAACCATGCGCAAACAACATGAAGATATCTTGCAACAATTACGTGCAAAAAATGCAGCCTTTCGTGCCCATGGACAACATCATCGTTCCCCATCTCCTCCTCCTCGGTCTAGCCATGTTCCAACGGCAACTGAAGAGCATCATTCCACTTCAGATCCTACTTATATTTCAGAATCTTTCCGAACTCATCGTTCTACGCATACTCATGCTAGTCATGCAACGTATGATCATCATTCTCCTCGGCGCCACCCCTTCGTGGATGGCATCATGGAAGTTCCCCTACCACCAGCATGGAAATCGTTGAACATCGAACGATATGATGGAACAACTGATCCTGACGAGCATATTGATGCATACGTCACTCAAGTCAATCTCTACACGAATGAGGACGCCATCATGTGTCGTGTTTTCCCAACCTCACTTAAGGGAGCAGCACTTAGTTGGTATACCCAACTTCCACCCCGTTTTGTGAACAACTTTGACAACCTGGTACGAATTTTCTCAGCACAATATGCTACAAGTCGGCCTCATCATATAACATCAGCGGCACTTTCCAACCTGAGGCAACGAGATGATGAATCCCTAAGATGTTTTATGGAACGTTTTGCCAACATCTCCATCAAGATCCGTCATCTTAACCCTGAAGTTGCCCTCCATTCCATGTTGATGGCTCTAAAACCTGGACCTTTTGTGGATAGTCTGTGCAGACATCAGCCAGCAAATATGGACGAACTTAGAGCCCCGGCAGCAGGGTATATTCAGATGGAGGAACATGCCGAATTCCGCAACACCATCCGAGAAAGTCTCTCCAACAAAGGTGAAACCAGCGGTAGCGGTAAAGAGAAATCCAAAAGTTATTTTACTGACCAAAAATCCAAAAAACCACGCCACACGCGTGGTCCTAGGTATGACTTTTATACACCTCTTAATGCCCCTCGTGTTAATATTTTGGAAGAGGCTAACCATGCAGATTTGATATCTCTACCTCCCCCGGCACACAATCCGCCCAACACCGATAAAAGCAAACATTTTCGTTTTCACCGGAATCATGGGCACACCACGGAAGAATGTGGGACTCTTAAAGACCGAATTGAAGAGCTTATTCAAGCGGGACAACTCGGACAATATGTTCAGCGTGGTCAAACTTCCCGCGGAGGCTTTCGCGGTCGGGGATGAGGTCGTGGACGATATCAAGGAGGACGATACCAGGGTTACCAAGGTCGTTTCGAGAACAATCATTACAACAATTCAAATCAACGAGAAGAGGGTAAACCGAGTTCCAACAGCGCTGATCAACAGCGTACCGAAAAACCCCCTAAGGAACACACTATACGTGGTGTGATAAACACCATAGCCGGAGGTTTTGCTAGAGGTGGGAGTTCCAATTCGGCTCGAAAATGCCATCTTCGTACTATCCACAGCATTAATAGTTGTGACAACGCCGAGTCGAAGCCGACAACTCCAACTCTTCCTATTACTTTCACTGATGAAGATTATGAAGGCGTAAGCTTAAACCAAGATGACCCCATGGTCATCTCGGTCGAAGTTGCAAATTGGGAAGTTCATAAAACCTTGATCGATCAGGGAAGCTCTGCTGATGTATTGTACTGGCCGACCTTTCTGAAACTTGATCTCCCACATAGTTTAATCCAACCATACTCGGAACCCCTTGTTAGTTTCGCAGGTGAGCGAGTTCATACTCGTGGTTTTATTGAACTACTAACTTCTTTTGGTACAACAACAAATTCCAGACGTGTCTTAGTCAAATACCTGTTAGTGTCACTTCATATAATATACTCATTGGGAGACCCACATTAAATCAACTTGGAGCGGTTGTGTCTACCCCTCATCTCTCCATGAAGTTTTCGGGGATGAATGGGAACATAGTGACTGTTAAAGCCAACCAACGAGTGGCACGAAGGTGTTATGTTGAGAGCTTGAAGATTCACCCTATCACAACCCCACCCAGAGTATCCAACTCCACCATGGTAGCTCATGTTAACTTGACAGCAACTACCGAGTTAGATCCTCGAGTTGACATGCATGATCATCGTCCAAATCCTACTGACGAGTTGATCAAGTTTCAAATCGGCAATACAGCCACCTAGTGTACTAGAATTGGCCAATGCATGGATCCAGACATTCAAGGTAAAATCATGGCACTTCTCACTCACAATGCTGACCTTTTCGCCTGGACTAGTGCAGATATGCCTGGGATTGATCCCAACTTCATCTGTCATAAATTGGCGATTTACAAGGAAGCAAAACCTGTATCACAAAGGCAAAGGAAACTCGGTGGTGAAAGGCGCGAAGCAGTGAAACTTGAAACTCAAAAGCTTTTGGACGCAAGATTCATCAGGGAAATTAAATACACTACTTGGTTAGCCAATGTAGTTATGGTCAAGAAATCCAATGGAAACTGGCGTATGTGCATTGACTACACAGATTTAAATAAGGCTTGCCCCAAAGATTCATATCCACTCCCCAACATTGATAGGTTGGTTGATGGAGCTTCAGGTTACGGTATGCTCAGTTTTCTTGATGCATATTCAGGTTACAATCAAATCCTAATGTATCCTCCAGATGAGGACCATACTACCTTTATTACTGAGCGTGCCAATTACTGTTACCGTGTTATGCCTTTTGGACTCAAAAATGCAGGAGCAACTTACCAACGCTTAATGGATAAGGTGTTTACTAAGAAAATTGGACGCAACCTTGAAGTCTACGTTGATGATATGGTAATCAAAACCAAATCACCTGCTGAGCATGTTCAAGACATAGCTGAGATTTTCCAACAAGTCCGACGACATAACATGAGGTTAAACCCCGAGAAATGTGTTTTCGGGGTCCAAGGTGGGAAGTTCTTGGGATTTATGATAACATGCAGGGGAATTGAGGCGAATCCTGACAAATTCCATGCTCTGATTAATATGCGTAGTCCACAAAATCACAAGGAGGTGCAGAGGTTAGCAGGTCGACTGGCTTCATTATCTTGGTTCATTCCCAAGATGGCAGAGAAAGCCAAACCTATTTTCTCCCTACTTAAAAAGCCTAAGGATTTCCAGTGGCACGACTGATGTGAACGAGCTTTTGCCGACTTCAAGGAATTCTTATCTGCTCCTTCCATCTTGTCTAAGCCGCGCAACCAAGCTCAACTTTTGCTATACCTTGCTGTAGCTGATAATGCTCTTAGCGCAGCCCTTGTACAAGAGGATGGTAAAAAATAGATTTCCATTTATTTCATCAGTCGTGTTTTGCAGGATACCAAGAAAAGATATCAAACAATTGAGAAGTTGGCATTGGCGTTGGTAACCTCGACTCGCCGACTTCGTCCTTACTTCCAAAGTCACCAAATTGTGGTCAAGACTGACTATCCCATCAAGAAAATACTCAGAAAACTCGATCTAGCAGGACGAATGACAGCTTGGTCAATTGAATTGTCCGAGTATGATATCAGATATGAAAGCCGAGGACCCTTTAAGGCCCAATGTCTTGTCGACTTCATAGCCGAGCTCACACCCACCGTCCAAAAAGAAAATCCAACCTGGATTTTGCATGTAGATGGATCGTCCAATGTTAAAGGAAGTGGTGCGGGCATAATTCTTGAAGGACCCAACAATATGATGTTAGAGCTAGCCATCAAATTTGATTTTCAAGCCACCAACAACCAAGCTGAATACGAAGCACTCCTAGCGGGTTTGAGGTTGGCTAAAGATGTCGGTGTTAAAAGGTTGATGTGCTGTAGCGATTCAAAACTGATCACGAAGCAAGTGGGAGGAAGTTACCAAACAAGGGAACCACAACTCCAGAGGTACAATTTAATGGTAGCCCACCTAACTTCTTCCTTTGATGATTTTTAGATCAAACATATTCCTAGAGAGCAAAATGTCCGAGCTAATTTGTTATCCAAACTTGCCTCCACCAAACGCCCTGGGCAACACAAAACAATCATACAAGAAACAATTGGTGCCCCGAGTCAAGATTTTATGGCAATATCCACTAACACCCAAGGACAATCAACTTGGATGTCGGATATCTGGAAATATCTCACAGATGGAACTTTACCGGACAGCAAAATTGAAGCATCCAAGATCAAAATTAAGTCTGCTCACTTCACAATTGAGGCTGGTGACTTATTCAAAAAAGGGTTCTCAACCCCTCTTCTCAAATGCCTAAATCCAGACCAAGCTCAGTACGTAATGGACGAGATACATCGTGGTATTTGTGGAATGCATTCTGGTGCTCGGTCCATGGCAACTCGTGTCATTCGAGCTGGCTATTATTGGCCCACGATGAGATCAGACTATAAAGCATACGTGCAGAAATGCAGAGCTTGCCAAGAATTTGGCAAACTTACACCAACTACCCGCAACAGCATTGCATTCCATGCAATCAGCTTGGCCATTCGCATGGTGGGGAATGGACATACTCGGTCCTTTCTGGATTGCCAGGTATCAATTAAAATTTCTACTTGTAGGAATTGATTATTTTACAAAGTGGATTGAAGCAGAACCTCTTGCAAAGATCACAGCAGCCAATGTCCAGAAGTTTACATGGAAGAAAATCATCTGTAGATATGGTCTACCCCAAGCAATTACCACCGACAATGGCAAGCAGTTTATAGACAAAAACTTTGAACAGTTCTTGAAACAACTGGGAATTAACCACAAAGTAAGCTCAGTCGAGCACCCACAAACAAATGGACAAGCTAAAGCAGCTAATAAGATTATTCTTAGGGAACTTCGGAAAAGATTGGGCTCAACAAAAGGAGAATGGGTGGAAGCATTGACCAACATCTTATGGGCATATCATTGTACTCCACAAACCACCACTCAGGAGACCCCATACAAATTAACTTATGGATCTGATGTTATGATCCCAGTTGAAGTTGGTGAACCAAGTCACAGACGATTAACTTTTGATGAAACCCAAAATGTGGAACAACTCAGATTAGATCTGGATTTGCTTGATGAAACCCGAGAATGTGCCAAGATACAGGAAGAAGCTTGTAAGCTCCGCGCTGCAAGACTATATAATTCAAGATTGAAGCCGAGATCATTCCGTGAGGGCGACCTCGTATGGCGAGCCACCAGAGATGCCCGAAAAGATACATCGGTAGGGAAATTTGCAGCAAATTGGGAAGGCCCTTTTCGAATTTCAGAATGTTTACAAAATGGGGCATATCGGTTAGTCGAGCTGAGTGGTAAAGTTCTTCCTAGAACTTGGAATGCCACTAACTTGAAATTTTATTATAGCTGAAGTATGTAAATCTAGGCATTGTACTCTTTTTCCTACTCTGGTCTTTTTTCCCGATTTAAAACATATAAGGGTTTTGGCCAGAGAGGTTTTAACGAGGCATGCCTGTTGAACCTTAAGGGATGTAATCAAATGACAAATACATCAAAGTTCCCTTTTCTTAAAATGATTCTTATGTGCATCTATCACTCTTTATTTGATAATATATTTTCAAGTTGGCCAAGTTTGAGCCAAGCTATGAAAGTCATTTACATTGGCCGAATTCGAAGCCAATCTTGTGAAATTCTATTAAGTTGGCCGAGTTCGAAGCCAACCTTATGAAATTCTATCAAGTTGGCCGAATTCGAAGCCAACCTTGTGAAATCTTATTAAGTTGGCCGAGTGCGAAGCCAACCTTATGAAATTTTATTGAATTGGCCAACCTTGAGGCCAAATTATGAAAATCGCTCAGATTGGCTAAATTTAAGCCAAACCATGAGATCCTTGGCCGAGTCCGAGCTAACTTGATCCTTTATTATTCAAGTTAGCCGAGTTCGAGCCTACAGATTAGTAAATTTGGTCAAATTTGAAATCAAGACCTTAATATTTGTGCTTAATTAAAATTTATGAATCTTATTTTATTGATATACTGAACAAATTGGCCAAGTATGAGCCAATTTTACTACTTCAAACGTAAAGTACTTAACTCAATCTCAATTCATAATAACATAGCCAAGTTTGAGGCTACTTTAGCTAGTATCAATTTCTTCGTTGTTTTTTCTTTAGCTAAGATTGAAGCCAAACCATATTTACGATAAATATTACAGCTTTAATAAAGCTTTCATCTCACTTGACATTCATGAGTCAAATTTAAGCAAACAATGTAAACAATTTAACATCCAAAACACCATCACATCGTCAAAAATTACATATTTAGC